CAAAACAGGTGAAAATTTCTGACCCGAAAATGTACGAGAAAACCTTTACAGCGCGCATAAAGGAGAAAAAAAACCTTTAATTTTTGGGGGGCTTTAGGTTCCCTAAAATTTTTATTCCCTGGAATTTCAGGGGGGGGAGGAAAAATGATTATTACACCTGGAAATTTCCCAGAGGGACTAGTTTTCCCAAAATTGGGACACGAAAAACACTCGCTACGAAAAACCCAAAAAACTTGGCAGATGTTTCAACCCCCAGTTTTGGATCAGCGGGCTGGGGCTGTTTCGTTGGGGTTTTCGTGCAGCCCGCCCCAAAACTGGGTTTTTTGGCTCTGTTCCCCCGGGGCCGGTCACAGACCGGGGCCGCGGGGGTGTTGCCCCCCCGGAAAATTCTCCAGGTAAACTCCCGGTTAAAGAAAAACGGGGTGGGCAATAGACGTTAAGAGACCATACAAAAAAGTGTCAGGGGGCCCCAGGGCTGTTCAAATGCCTCCCCGCTTTCGTAAGGGGGGGTTACCAACAGACCCCTGGCAGTCTTCAAGATGGCACCCGGACAAAACACCTAAAGCGGGGTTTCCCGACCCCGGGCTGGGGGCTCGTAAAGTTGGTTTGCGTGCAGCCAAAAGCAAAAAGCCCGGGGTTTTATCAGGCTCTGATCCACCAGGAGGGCCCGGTCACAGGGGCCGGGCCCCGGGGGCCTTTGGGCCCCGGAAATCTCTCCCGGTAAAAAATCCAGGTATCCAAATTTTTTTTTTCCCTTGCAGGAAATTTTTTTTTTAAAACCCCGCATTGTTTCCCATTTTCCCCGAAAAAAAATAATCAAGAAACAATTTTTTTTTTTTTTTTGAGAAATGATGTGACTTTGGTTCTGGATATTGATTTTGACCGAAATTTTCTGTTCTGAATTTTTTGTAAAAATAGTTAATCACATTTTTTTTATGACTATTTAATTACTGTATTTGGCACGATTTTTTTAATTTATTTTGTGTACACAAGATTACTGATGTAGGTGGGAAATTCCCAGGAAGGTTGAATTTTTTTTTCTTTCAGGTGGCACCCATCCTTGCTGGGATTCACTTTTGCCCCCGGCAGGGGTGCAGAGTATGAGGGGGGTCAGCACCCAGCCTTATTTTTTCCTAGCAAAGGTTGAAAAAGCATTTGATGTTTTCTTGCTTTTAATTTTTTTTTTAACTTTTAATTAGTTTGTTGGTGAGAGAGAATAGTTGGGAAAATGTTTAGTAATGGGTGTGTATTTTATAGTCTACTTTTTAATCTTAAATTTTTCTAAACTGGAGTGTAAAAAGATGTAGTCATTAAAACTCCCGATTAGTAAAGTGGAGCTATTAATCCCTTTTCCCCCGCAATTTCCGGGGGCCTCAAAACCTATCAGTTTAGTTGTTATGTCACCTTTTGGGGCCACACGAGTAGGAACTTTATCCAGAGGTTTCTGTTGTCTGGGGGTTTGGTTTAATGTACAGTTGTTTGCCTATAAGCTGCTACAAATCCCCAAAAATTTATCTCAGTACCCAAATTTTTTCTTGGTAAGGGGTACCTTTTTCCTTGGTTGGTGGCCCTCTTGCCTCTTAAATTTTTTTAAGGATGTTGTCTCTTACCCCTCTCTCATTTGACATTTCTTGCCATTTTTAAACTTCCCCCAGTTTTCCTGGGAAACTTTATCTTTGAGCCTTCTCACAGAAGTGTTTATATCAAATCAACAGTTTTCTATCGCCCTTGGGGAAAAGGGGCTGGTGCAGGGGTCATGATAGTTGAAAAATGAAAAAACAAGAAACCCTTTAAAACTGAAAGTTTATTACTGGTGGGTCAAGGGAAAACTAACCCCAAGGGTTTTTATGCTTCATCCTAGGTTGGGAAAATTTTACACTTTTGGGGGTTGTGGTGATGTTTATAAAACGCAGACGACACCTTTGGGGATTTAAGAGGAAAGGGTTGTTTCTGGTACAAGCAAAATTTTACAAACCCTTTCTGTAGTTAGGGAGGGAAGAAAATTTTTTTGAATAAAAGGGCCCTTTTCTTCATGAGCCACTAGGGTCGTTAAAAACAGAAAGAAAAATATTTTTCCTTTGGTCAAAAAAACAGTTTTATTTAAAACATTTTATGTATTTTTTAACCCCTTTAATATTTCTTCAGTATTAGGTTTTGGAAATTAATCAAGCCATAACCCCTTTTTTTTGTACAGTATTGTAAAAGTTTAAACGCTGTGCTCTTCTTTTATGTTTTCCAGCTACATTTTAAGAGGAAATTATGTAGAACATTATTGCAGTTTTTTTAGCTTGACACTTTATTGCCACAAATTCTTTGCCCCCCCCCAAATTTAAATTTCCCGTGTACCCGGGAAATTTTTTTTCATTTTTTAATATATAAACATTATTAAAAAGCAAGAAAGTTTTAAAATTAAAGTCCCCAAGGTGCTTTTCTTTAGGTACCTTTGACCTAAATTTTAAATGGTTTCAATTCTTGAATTTTTTTGTTTTTACTGTGTTCTTTTTTCAAATACATCATAAAATTTTTGGGAAACTTTTCTTTAAAGCTGCATTTGTATTGTATAATTTCAGAACATGTTCCTTAGGCCTTTTAGAATTTCGACAGAGTTTTCCAAATACGGGGAAAAAAAAAAATGCGGTGCTCTTTTGCCCAAAATGCTTTCAGGACCGCCCCAAAAACAAGTGAAACACTATCGCTTTTGGGTTGGGGACCGTCGCAAACCCTTTAGCGTTCCATACAAGGGGAAAACCCTCTCACTGAAGAAAAAATTTTGAAGAATCAAGTCGTACCCAAAATTTGATTTCTATCCATTTATCCATGGGTACATTGTCTCTTCTGGTGGAGGTTTTTTTAAATTTCACACTGGCCAGTAAAACCTCCCATGCACTTTTCTTTATGTGAAACCACATTTCTCCCCTCTCTGCTTTATATTCAAAAAAAAAGGTTTTTATTATGTATTTTAAAAAAGACCCATTAAACTGTTAAGGGGGCTGTTTAGAATGCTTCTAAAATGGCTGTCAAAATTTGCGAATTTTTTTTGATGGTAAAAATTGTTCAGCCTGGTCTTCTTTTAAAATCTTTAATTGTTTAATTTTTGATTAAAATTTTAAATTTCCCTCTTTCATTTTAAAAAAACCGGTTTAAGTTTCCAGTATTCAGGATCAGAAGGGCGCTCCAATGAAGATTTATGATTTATAACTTTAAAGGCAATGGTGAGAAAGCTTTCCCAAAGTTTAAGCATGGTTTTATCAAACTAAAAATTTTGTTTTTAAAAGAAATGGGATAAGGGGTGTTTAAAAAAATTCCCGTACCAGTAGATTCTAGTACAAATGGGTTGGTATAAAGGGAAATTTCTTTTTAAACATTTAGGAGAGGATGGGGTATTAAAATTTTGGACATACACTTGAACCCCCTTAACTTTTTTCCCGTAATAAAATTTTTTACAGCAGTTTTTTTTAGAAGAAATTTAGATAGACCAAAAAAGGGGTGGTTGATTTGGAATAAAAATTTGCCCATCGCAAATTTTCCATTTTAAAATTATTTCCCTAAAAAAATTTTTAAAATGAGGTAATATGAGGATAAATTTAAAAATTTTTAGTTCTAGGGGCAATGAAAAACAGTCATCCTGACTTTTCCCTTTTTCCCTAAGTAATTATTATTTTAATCTAAATAAATAACATTTTCATTATTTTTTTTTTTTAACCAAGTTTTGGCCATCTCCCACCAGGCGGTTCCCCAAAAAAAAAGAAAATCCCCAAAAAAAAATTCTATTTTTAATCGACCAATTCAAACTCTTTAACCCTTTTACCCCGAAAAATTTCAAGGGGGTTTTTCACCAAGGGCCCCCAGAACCCCCAACATTAAAACCCCAAAACGTAGAAATTAAAAACAAAAAAAATTTTAAAACTCCAATTTGCAACCCCCCCCTTTGAGTCAACCAAAGTTCTTTCCAAAAAACCAATCCCGGTCTGGGATATAAAAATACCTTTCCAAATTTTTTTTTTTTCCTCGGGGTTTTCCCCAACCCCCAAACCCCTCTCCCAGGCAGGGGGACCCATTGAAAAAAAATTCCCAAAAAAACTTTCCCCTCATCTTTCCCCCCCATAACCTTTTCACCCCACTTTTCCCATTTTTTTTTAAAAATGGTTTTTTTTCCAAAAGGGGCTCCCCCCGAAAAAAAGAAAGAAAATAAAAAGAAAAACCCCTAAAACTTTATCCCTCCAACTTAAAAATCTTTTTTCCCTGGGGGTTTTAAAATTCCCAAAAGAGAAAAGTAAATATTGTTTTTAAAAAAAAAATTTTCCCCTTTTTCCAACCTTTTTTAATAATTTTTTGGGAAAAATTTTTTTCCTTTTCCGGTTTTTTTTAAAAGGGTTTTTGACTTTTTTACCCAAAACCCCTGGCTTACAGAGGAAAAATTTTTTATTCCACTTCCCCCTGGAAAAAAAAGGAAAAGTAATAAGACCAAGAAATATTTAAAATAAAAAAAAGAAAACTCAGATGAGTGGTATAAATAAACGTGTACGGGATTGGGGTGTGTGAACCCAAGTGTAAATAGAGTAGCAAGGGCATGTTGTAATCTTGCATATTTGAGAAGACAAAAGGGCAACCCGCAATTTACCTCATGTAAAAAAAATTACAGGCTTTCGTTTTACTATCTTGGCAGGACGGTAGTACCCTTTTTCCCGGGTGGGTTTCTGTCTTCCAAAACCCATACCCATCAAGGAGGTTCCTTGCTTATTTTAAGGAATTGGACTTGCCCTCCCCTTCCTTGTATTAAACTTAAAGCTATACATTCACCGAGTGCCTTATAACCCCAACTGGTTTATAGCCCCTTCCCCCTCTCCCAAATACAATAATTTGCCTTGTGAATACATAAGATGATGGGTAAATTGTGCACACTACTGCATTCAGTATACACTTGTCTTTACTTTCCGGTGTATTTCTTAATGGTTCTTATAATTGCAATACATATTTCCTCTCGAATCTGTGAGACTAAGATGGTGAAGGTAAAAATATTTGATAAGGTAATATATTAATTATTGTGAAGACAAAGTCAGTGTAAAACTGGTTGAGTGAACAGGACCAGGAGACTGTCAGATGAATGAGTGTAGAGACACACACAAACTGCTGTCAATCATTTATATCTAATCTTCATTCACTGTTTTTCAGAATCAAGTAACCAAATCCTGAAAAGACAAGCACGACTTTTCTTACTGAATGCAGATGGCAATGTTATATCACTCTTCAGGAATATTTTATTTAGTGCAAAGGTAAACTGTGATGATGGTCTTGGTGTTTTGTAAACCTGACAGCATAGTACAGATTAATATAGATACTGGTGGTTGTATTATTGCTATCAGGAAAAAATGAGAGCTCTTAGGTTTGCCCTTCCACTTTACAACTATAATATCCTGGCTGATAACTGGAGCTGGTCATTTGCTCATGCCCTGCCAGGCACAGGCACACCACAACAGTGAGGCTGTATTGGACATGATTATGCTCTTAGACCTCTTAGAAGTAGGTATTAGGTAGAGAATTGATGTGATGCTTTCCAGATAAGGTCTCTTATTATCCATGCTGCAAAAATACATCTTTCAGTGTTCAAAATGCAGTTTTGACCAATATTCTTGAGAGTTATATATTCTTTAATTTTGTCATTTATCATCCTTTCATGTGACTCACCTTTTGTATTCCTTCCTGTGCACTGCCATTTTTCTTGCCAGAATTTTTAATATTTTCAGTACAGGTATATCTCCTTTATACAAGAATGTGATCTCACCTATTCATACTGTATTTTGTGAAATGTTATGAGATATCTTAATGTTTATAATGTATTATTAAATGTTAAGTTTTTCCTTTAATCTTATTAATAATTATGGAAGAAAAACCTAAGAATATGTTAGGGATTAGTATCATTACAGTATCATATATTACAGAGCATGTAACTTTCATGTATATTTGAGATGGATGTTAGTAAAATCAGCCTTAAATCTTGTCCAAAACACTGTGATTGAAATGCTCTGCTTAACTATGGACTTACAACATGCTCTCAAGTGTCAACCACTTCTCTGTAAACAATGTATTATGTTGAAATAAACTTGGATATTGGCATTCTGTATTTTTTTTTTTTTTTTTACATGTTGGCCGTCTCCCACCGAGGCAGCGTGACCCAAAAAGAAAGAAAATCCTCAAAAAGAAAATGCTTTCATCATCATTCAACACTTTCACCTCACTCACACATAATCACTGTTTTTGCAGAGGTGCTCAGAACACAACAGTTTAGAAGCATATATGTATAAAGATACACGACATATCCCTCCAAACTGCTAATACCCCAAACCCCTCCTTTAGAGTGCAGGCGCTGTACTTCCCATTTCCAGGACTCAAGTCTGGCTATGTAAAAATAACCGGTTTCCCTGAATCCCTTCACTAAATATTACCCTGCTCACACTCCAACAATATTTTTTGTGGGATAAGTTTTAAATTTTTATGTAAAAAACTCAAACTCTTAACAAATTTCAATGCTCCTAGTAATCTAAAACTCTTCTGTAATAATTTATTCTAAAAATTAATTTTATTCAGTGTGTAATGGATGGTGAACTTGATGTGGTTCAGCGAGTGCAGGCAGCCCCAAGGAGACAAAACTGGGCTGTCATTCTACTGGGTGGTGGACATTTTGCTGCTGCCATCTTTAGAGGTGGGTTCTCTCATTTTGTATTTTTGCTGTCTAAGAAAATTCATGATCACTTGACTGGAGGTCTCTGTGGTTGATAGGCAGGTGACATACATTTATCCTTGATAGGGAAGAATGGAAGTCTTAAAATGTGTAAAAGTTATTACCACTTGACATTGTAATCAGTCTAACTATATTATTGCCTACTTATGTCAGTTGCAAATAGGCTTTCCTCAAGACCCACCAAAAAGGGTGTTGAGCTTTGAGGAAGATCATAGTTTGTGCAGAGAATGATCATGTTGCACATTAGCCATTACTAAATTTTGGTCAATATCATTTACAAATCACAAGTGTTACACCTTTTCTGCATTCTACATTTTTTATTTAACATGTTGGCCATCACCCACCAAGGCAGGGTGACTCGAAAAAAAACTTTTACCATCATTCACACATAAACACTGTCTTTGCAGAGGTGCCCAGATATGACAGTCCAGATGTCACTCCAAACAGCCAATATCCCAGACCCCTCCTTTAAAGTGCAGGCATTGTACTTCCCACCTCCAGGATTCAAGTCTGACAAACCAGTTTCCCTGAATCCCTTTACAAAATATTACCCTGCTCACACTCCAACAGCTCGTCAAGTCCCAAAAACCATTCGTCCCCATTCACTCCTATCTAACACACTAACACTTGCCTGCTGTATGTCCAAGCACACAAAATCTCTCTTGCCCCCTCCCTGCATCCTTTTCTAGGATGACCCCTACCCCCTCCTCTCCTCCACTACAGATTTACATACCCTCCAAGTCAATCTGTTTTGCTCCATCCTCTCTAAATAACCAAACCACCTCAACAACCCCTCCTCAGCCCTCTGAATAGTACTTTTAGTAACTCCACACCTCCTAATTTCCACACTACTAATTCTCTGCATAATATTTACACCACACATTGCCCTTAGATATGACATCTTGAGCCTCCTCCTTGCTGCAGCTTTTACAACACATGCTTCACATCCATATAAGAGTGTTGGTACCACTTGACTCTCATATATTCCCTTTTTCTTTGCCTTCATGGATAACATTTTTTTTGTCTCCACATATACCTCAATTCACCACCCAACCTTATTCCTTCATTAATTCTAGGGTTTACCTCTTCCTTCATTAATTCTAGGGTTTACCTTGTCCTTCATAAACCCATTTGCTGACAAGTCTACATCCAAATATGTGAACACATTCACTTCTTCCATCCTCCCTCCCTCTAATGTGACGTCCAATTTTTCTTTACCTAACTTGTTTGATACCCTCATCACCTTACTTTTATCTATATTCACTTTCAGCTTTCTTCCTTTACACACTCTTTTATATTTAAATTAATACAAATTATTTTTGAACGTTTTCAGTAAAGTTCGCTAATCAATTAGAAGATAACAGTAGATTAGAATTAATAGTGAAATTTGTGAAATGACTTTCAGATAACTGACTGTGTCATATGCACTACCATGTTTGGTTTGGTAAATAATGGTTTCAGATTAAATAATGTCAGATGAGTAGTCTTGTGAAACAGAAACCTGTAACTGTTTTGCATGATGGTAGGACTGCTGGTTTCTTTTTCTGTCTCATAAACACGCTAGAGAGAAGTAAATGCGAGGGTCTTGGCAAGAGGCGTGGAGTTAAAAGATAAAGAATCACACACAAAGTGGGAGTTGTCACAGCTGCTCTTTGCTGATGACACTGTGCTCTTGGGAGATTCTGAAGAGAAGTTGCAGAGATTGGTGGATGAATTTGGTAGAGTGTGCAAAAGAAGAAAATTAAAGGTGAATACAGGAAAGAGTAAGGTTATGAGGATAACAAAAAGATTAGGTGATGAAAGATTGGATATCAGATTGGAGGGAGAGAGTATGGAGGGGGTGAACGTATTCAGATATTTGGGAGTGGACGTGTCAGCGGATGGGTCTATGAAAGATGAGGTGAATCATAGAATTAATGAGGGAAAAAGAGTGAGTGGTGCACTTAGGAGTCTGTGGAGACAAAGAACTTTGTCCTTGGAGGCAAAGAGGGGAATGTATGAGAGTGTAGTTTTACCAACGCTCTTATATGGGTGTGAAGCGTGGGTGATGAATGTTGCAGCGAGGAGAAGGCTAGAGGCAGTGGAGATGTCATGTCTGAGGGCAATGTGTGGTGTGAATATAATGCAGAGAATTCGTAGTTTGGAAGTTAGGAGGAGGTGCGGGATTACCAAAACTGTTGTCCAGAGGGCTGAGGAAGGGTTGTTGAGGTGGTTCGGACATGTAGAGAGAAGGAGCGAAACAGAATGACTTCAAGAGTGTATCAGTCTGTAGGGGAAGGAAGGCGGGGTAGGGGTGGGCCTAGGAAAGGTTGGAGGGGGGGGGTTTTAAAGGGGGTTTTTTGTGCGGGGGGGGTTTGGGATTTCCCAGCGGGAAAGCGTGAGCGTTTTTTGATAGGAGTGAATGGAGAAAAGGGGTTTTTTAATTACTTACGTGCTTTGGAGTGTGACAAATTTAACATTTATGAAGGGGATTCGGGGGAAACCGGCGGGGCCGGGAACTGAGTCCGGGGGAGGGGAAGTACAGTGCCTGCATCTGAAGGGGGGTGTTAAGGGTTGCATTTTAAAAAACTGTAGTGTAAAGCCCCCTTCTGGCAAGACAGGGGGATGGAGTAAAATGTTTGGTGAAAGTTTTTTTTTCGGGCCCCCGCCTTGGGGGGGAATGGGCCCCATTTGTGAAAAAAAAAAAATTTAAAAAAAAAAAACAGCTAGATAACAGGGATATCTTGTACTCCTTCACTTTGTCACACTTCACAGACACGCAAAATGAATTTAAATATAATACATCTAGGTTTTCCCCCCTTTTTCTAAAAGCTTTGTTCTTTTTTATTTTTTCTTTTGTCCAGGGGGAAGTGGAAAAGAATTTTCCCTCCGTAACCCAAAGCGTGTCTTTTATAAAGGCGACTAAAATCCCGGGGGAGCAATGGGCTAGAAACCCCTTCTCCTGTGGGACTTTTTACAAAAAAAGAGAAGAAAAAAAACTTTTAAAATGGGATGTTTTAAATGTGCGTGGATGTAGTGCGGATGACAAAAACAGATTTTTGCTGATAAATAAGAAGAAAAGAAGTTGGATGCCCGGGCCCCCCCTAAGCGAAAAAAGTGAAGGGGTGGGGGGAGTTTCATTGGGGGGAAATAAGGGATTAAATCGGGAGTATTGAGAGAGTTAGAGAAAAGGGAAAAGGGGGTAGCAGTTTTTGTTGAATGATCGTTAAATGGGGGAAAAAAAGAGAATTGAAGTGTAAATTCAAAATTATGGGGGTTTTAAAGAAAAGGGGTTTGGATGGGGAGAATTTTTGGGGGTCAAAAATAAGCCCCCTATGACCTGGAGAAGAGAGGAATGCAGAGGAGAGAGAGAGTTTTGGGAGATTTAAAGTGAATGTATAGGAGCCTTTAAAACCCAAGTGAGAGGGTAAGTTGGGGTTTAGGGACCTGAATGCTAAAGTAGGAGAAACTTTTAGAGGGGGGTTGGTGGAGGTAATTTGGGGTCCCGGGTTGTAAAGATAAGGGAAACCCTTTGATTGAATTTTGTATAAAAAGGGGGTTTTTAGTTATAGGTAATACAAAATTTTTAAAAAAAAAGGGGATAAAAATTACAAGTTTATGATGTAGGGCAAAATGACAGATTTTGTTGGTTTATGTATTGGTAGAAAAAAGACTGTTTGAGTAGATTTCAGGATGTACATTTTATAGGGGGGCCCACAGTATATTAGATAAACTTTCTAGTTGTAGCCATTTGAGAGTAAAAGGTGATGGGATAAAGGAGAATAGAAGCATCGGGGGAAGAGAAAAGGTAAGGTTTATAAACTAAAAGAGGAGGCAGGCAGGGTAAGATAAAACACTATTGGAGGATAGGGGGCAAATGAGAGCATAGGCAAGGGGAATCGAAGGGGAAATGGGGTAGGTTTAAAAATGTGGTTAAGTTTTCAGCAGAAGTTTGGGGTTACGGGAAAAAGGGGGTTCGGGGGGGGAAAGGGAGGAGCGATTGGTGGAATGATGATGTAAAGGGGGAGAAGTAAGGGAGAAAAAGTTAGCATATGAGAATTTTTTTACAAAGTAGAATTGATGCAAGGAGGGAAGAGTATAGGGGAGAAAAAAAAGAGAGGTTAAGAGAGTGGTGAACCCATGTAAAAAGAGAGCAAAGGGAGAGAGTGGGTGAGATTTTTATCAAAAAAAATTTTTTTGAAAAAAAGAAAAAAGTTTTGGATGGGGATTAACAGGTTAAGAAAGCCTAAAAGAACAAATGGATTTGTCATTAAAAATAGGAGAGGAGATTATTAAATGGGGTTAGGGGGTATTGGGGAAAAATGGAGGGAATATTTTGAGGAATTGTTAAAAAGTTGATGAAAAATAGGGAAAACTGTGGGTTTTTGGTAAGAGAAGGAGGGGAAAACATCTTGTAGGGTGAGGAAGAGCCGTTGTGAGTGTGGGGGGAAATTCTTTAGGTTTGGGGGGTAATAATGAAAGGGGGAAAAGGGAGCCGGGGTTGATGGGGTAAAATAGAAATTTTTAAAAACCCGGTGGGGGTATAGTTTTTTGGGGTGGTTTGGGGCAGTTTTTTTAATTTAAAATTTTGGGGAAAAGGGGAAGGTACCTAGGGATTGGCCCGAGACCTGCATGTTCCTTTGTATAAAGGCAAAGGGATTTAAAAGAGGGGGCAAAAAATTTTTAGGGGGGTAAGTCGTTGAAATATACCGGCAAAGTGTATTGGGAGGGTTATTAAAATTTAAAGAATTAAGAGTAAGTGGATAATAGGATAAACAGATGAAAAAAGGAGGCTTTAGGAAAGGTAGGGGGGGGTGTGGGGCCAGGTTTTTTACAGTGAAACTTTAAAAATTTAAAAAGTTTTTTAGATTAAAGGCCCAAAAAAGGTCCTTTTTGGCATTTTATGGATTTGGGAAAAAGGGGATGACAGGGTTTGGGTAGGGGGGAAAGGGGCAGGGTGTTTTCAGGTGGGATGGGTAGGAGGTAGGTTACTGAAAGCAGTGAAAAGTTTTTTACGAGGATATTTAGGCCCAAGGTTTGAGTTGTAGGAAAGAGGGAAATTATTTCCCCGTAAAAGTAGGCCTTAGACAAGGAAATTTTGATGTCACTGTGGGGTTTTTTAATAATTTATAGATGTTGGGTTTAAGAGAATAAATTTTCGGGGGGTCTTGGCAAGAGGCGTGGTTAAAAGAAAAAGAAACAAAATAAAAATTTGGGGGGGGTTGTCACAGTTTTCTCTTTTCTGAGGGCAACTGGGGCTCTTGGGAGATTCTGAAGAGAAGTTGCAGGAATTGATGGTGGAATTTTTGGTTTGGGTGTGCAAAAAAAAGAAAATTGAAAGTGAAAACAAGGAAAGGGGTAAGGTTAAAGGGATAAAAAAAGATTAGGTTTATGAAAAAATTTTGGGTATCAGATTTTGGGGGAGAGAGTGAGTATGGAGGGGGTGAATGTATTCAATATTTGGGGGTGGACGTGTCCCGCGGATTTGGGGCCCATGAAAAATGAGGGGGAACATAAAAGATGAGGGGGAAAAAGGGGGGTGGTGCATTAGGAAAACTGTGGAACAAAAAACTTTGTCCTTGGAGGCAAAGAGGGGAATGTATGAGAGTATTTGTTTTAAACCCAAAGCTCTTATATGGGTTGAAGCATGGGTGATGAATGTTGCAGCGAGGAGAAAAGGGTGGAGGGGATTGGGGGATGTCATGTCTAGAGCAATGTGTGTTGTGAATTTTTAAACGAGAATTTGATTTGGAAGTTTTGGAGGAGGGGCGGGAAATTTCCAAAATGTTGTCCGAGGGAAGGGTTTTGGGTGGTTTTGGAATGTGGAGAGAAAGGAGCGAAACAGAAAAAACTTCAAGAGTGGGATCAGTCTGTAGTGGAAGGAAGGCGGGGTAGGGGTGGCCTAGGAAAAGGGTTTGGGGGGGGGGGTAAAGGAGGTTTTGTGTGCGAGGGGCTTGGACTTTTCCCGCAGGGATGCGTGGCGTTTTTTGATAGGGGTGAAAGGGGACAAATGGTTTTTAATAAATTGACGTGTGTGGGGTTGGGGAGCAAAATAAAAAATTTTGAAGGGGGGGTTTAGGGGAAAATGGAGGCCGGGACTTGAGTCCTGGAGATGGGGGGGAAATACAGTGCCTGCACTCTTGAAGGAGGGGGGTTAATTTTTTGCAGTTTTAAAAAATTGTAAAATGTAAAGCACCCTTCTTTGGGAAAACAGTGATGGATGAATGTGGGGAAAGTTTTTTTTTTTTTCGGGGCCCCCCTCCTTGGGGGGAATAGCCAGTGTGATAATTTAAAAAAAATAAGAGTTTGTCTTAAGGAATTTTTATGTAATTTCTTTCAGTTACAGGAAACAAATAAGCTTTATAGTATCCCATTTTTTAAATAAAAGTATTTGGGCATATACTGAAATTCTTTTTTAAAATAATGATTTTTGTAGCATACTACCCCTTATAATGCAAATTACTGGGGTTTTAAACCCAAAACCCTTTTGGGAAGAACTTTTTAGTATCACTTTTGGGACCAAATTTGTTATTGTCTTGGGTTTTATTGTTTTTTTCTGTAATCAAGAGTTATTACGGGGGCAATAAATATTTTAATTTCAAGGAAATTTTTTTTTAAATTTTATTCTTTTATTGCCCTTTGCTAATTTGTTATGGTTATCACATCTCTCATTTCCTTTCCCATCAACCAATGATGGCATAACCCCGAACCCCTTTAATCTTTTTTCATAGCAACTTTCAGTCTTGGTAATCATTTTGTGACATGTCTTTGAACTTACTTTATCCTGCCTACATAGGGTGCTTTATTTGCAGACATCCTACCACCTCATCATACAGTATTTCAATTATTGTCAAAAATATGTTGTGAATAGCTATTTTTTCAGTATTTCTCCATCATACATCTAAAACATGTTTTTTAGTTGGTTTAGCTTGCTGTAGAATACATTCCAGCATCCCATTAATTTTAGAATGAATTGTAATATTGCTCTTAACAGGAAATGAAGTGGTAATCCACAAGACATTCCACAACTACACAGTACGTGCCAAGCAGGGTGGGAGCCAAAGCTCAAAGGACAACCAGAGTGCCACAGCTCATCTCAAGTCAAGTGGCTCATCGCTGAGACGCTATAATGAACAGTCACAACGTCAAGTAATATAATATAATATCAAATAGATATTTTAATGGAGAAAATTAAAATTTAAATAAAAGTATTGGGTTCACTATTTCAGTACCATAATCTGTTTTGGTTAAATAATATTAGCTTATATTGTATATTCAGCACATTATGATGTTTTTTATGCAATTATATATTCAACTCTTTACAATCTGTAGTAGGTTAGTCGACAGCAACCACCCAGGGAGGTACTACTGTCCTCCCAAGTGAGTGTAAAATGAAACTCTGTAATTGTTTTACATGATGGTAGGATTGCTGGTGTCTTTTGTCTGTCTCATAAATACAGTGGACCCCCGCCTTACGATGTCATTGCGTTACGTTAAATCCGCAATACGATACATTTGAACGCAAAAATTTTGCCTCGCCTCACGCGATTCGTCCGGGATGCCTCCCATGTGTAGCCTCAATGCCAGTGTTTACAAGCCAGCCTGTGCGATCGCATCCACGCATATATTCGGTACATTTCACCTTATCCCAGTGTTTTTTGTGCTTGTAACTGCAAAATAAGTCATTCTGGGCCCCAAAAAAGCTTCTAGTGCCATCCCTGTGGTAAAAAGGGTGAGAATAAGTATGGAAATTAAGAAAGATTTTGAAGGGTTTGGGGCTAACCCTGAGAAGCCTATGCCAATTGTGGAATCCATTGTGCCTACTTCAAAGATTAAGGAAATGTGTGCAAAGTGGGTTGAACTGCAAACCTTTATGGATGAAAAGCACCTTAACACAGCTATTGCAAGCCGTGCTGGTGACTATTACAATGACAATGTTGTGGCCCATTTTAGGCAAATCTTAAAGGAACGGGAAGTACAGAGCTCTATAGACAGATTTGTTGTGCGATAGAGGTCCAGTGACTCTTAAGCTGGTCCTAGTGGCATTAATAGAAGATGGGAAGTAACCCCAGAAAAGGACTTGCTACCTCAAGTCCTAATGGAAGGGGATTCCCCTTCTAAACAATAACTTCCACACTCTCCCTTCCTCCCATTCCATCAATCATCATCAGATCTTCAATAAAGGTGTCATGTATTATATTCTTAGTAGAGTAGTAATTGTGCATGTCTTCTTCAGTTTGTGTATATTAAAATCAATATTTCATGTGGTAAAAATTTTTTTTTTTTTTTTTCATACTTTGGGGTGTCTTGCACGGATTAATTTGATTTCCATTATTTCTTATGGGGAAAATTAATTCGCCTTACGATAATTTCGGCTTACGATGAGCTCTCAGGAATGGATTAATATCATAAGGCAGGGGTCCACTGTATGCAGGATTACAGGTACGTCTTGCTACTTCTACGTACACTTAAGTCACAATACACATACATGTACACGTTTATTTATACACACTCATCTGAGTTTTCTTTGATTTTATCTTAATAGTTCTTGTTGTTGAGGTGGTTTGGTCATTTGGAGAGAATGGATCAAAGTAGAATGACATGGAGAGCGTATAAGTCTGTAGGGGAAGGAAGGCGGGTAGGGGTTGTCCTCAAAAAGGTTGGAGGGAGGGGGTAAAGGAGGTTTTGTGGGCGAGGGGCTTGGATTTCCAGCAAGTGTGCGTGAGCGTGTTAGATAGGAGTGAATGGAGGCGAATGGTATTTGGGACCTGACGATCTGTTGGAGTGTGAGCAGGGTAATATTTAGTGAAGGGATTCAGAAAAAACAATTATTTTTATATAGCCGGACTTGAGTCCTGGAAATGGGAAGTACAATGCCTGCACTCTGAAGGAGGGGTTTGGAATATTAGCAGTTTGGAGGGATATGTTGTGTATCTTTATAGGTATATGCTTCTAAGCTGTTGTGTTCTGAGCACCTCTGCATAAACAGTGATTATGTGTGAGTGAGGTGAAAGTGTTGAATGATGATGAAAGTATTTTGTTTTTGGGGATTTTCTTTCTTTTTTGGGTCACCCTGCCTCGGTAGGAGACAGCCGACTTGTTAAAAAAAAAAAAAAAAGAGTTCTTGTTCTTATTACTTTTCTTTTTATATCCATGGGGAAGTGGAATAAGAATCTTTCCTCCGTAAGCCATGCGTGTTGTAAAAGTCAACTAAAATGCTAGGAACAATGGGCTATTAACCCCTTTTCCTGTACAGATTACTAAAAATAAGAAGAATAAATATAACATTTGCCAAAGTGGGATGTCTGAATGTGCGTGGATGTTGTGCAGATGATAAGAAAGAGATGATTGTGGATGTTATGATTGAGAAGAAGCTGGATGTCCTGGCTTTAAGTGAAACAAAGCTGAATGGGGTGGGAGAGTTTCAGTGAAGAGGAATAAATGGGATTAGCTCAGGTTTCAAATAAAGTTAGAGCTAAAGAAGGGTAGCAATAATGTTGAAGGATAAGATATGGCAGGAAAAGAGGGACTATAAATGTATTAATTCAAGGATTATGTGGAGTAAAATAAAGGTTGGATGTGAAAAGTGGGTTATAGTAAGCGTATTTGCAACTGGAGAATAGAGAAGTGTAGAGGAGAGAGAGAGATTTTGGGGAAAAGTTGAGTGAATGTGTGGGGAGTTTTGAAAACCAGTGTGAGAGTACTTGTGGTTGAGGATTTCAATGCTAAAGTTTGTAAATATGTTGGGTGCCAGGGGTAAATGAAAATGGGGGGCCTTTAATTGAGCTAGTGTAGAAAGAGGTTTGGTAAAAAGTAATACATGTTTTATGAAAAAGAGGATAAATAAATATACAAGGGATGATATAGACGAAAAGAAAGTATTTATTAAAATTTTGTATTGGTGAATAAAGGTTGATGGCTAGGCTCCAGGAGGGAAAACGTTATAGAGGAGCAACTGATAATCGATCATTATTTAGTGTAGCTACAGTTTGAGTAAGAGGTAGATGGCAAGAGGAAAACGACAACAACAAGTAAGAGGGAGGTGAAAGTGTAAAACTAAGGAAGGAGGAATTCGGGTGAGATATTATTAACTATTGGCAATAAGGTGGGCTGGTGCAAGTATGAGTGATGGGGGAGTTGAAGAGGGTTGGAATAGTTTTAAAATGCAGTATTTGAATGTGGAGCAGAAATTTGTGGTTATAGGAGGGTGGGTGCAGGGGGAAAGAAAGGGGTGATTGGTGGAATGATGAAGTAAAGGGCGTGATAAAAGAGAAAAAGGCAGCTTCAGAGAGGTTTTTACAAAGCAGAAGTGTTACATGAAGAGTGGAGTGTATGGAGAGTAAAAGAGAGGTGAAGAGAGTGGTGAGAGAGTGCAAAAGGAGAGCAGATAATAGAGTGGGAGAGGCACTGTCAAGAAATTTTAATGAAAATAAGAAAAAATTTGGGAGCGAGTTAAACAAGTTAAAAAAGCCCTAGGGAACGAATGGATATGTCAGTTAAAAACAGAGTAGGGGAGTTAGTGGATGGGGAGATGGAGGTATTGGGTAGATGGCAAGAATATTTTGAGGAACTTTTAAATGTCGATGAAGAAAGGGAAGCGGTAATTTCATGCTCTGGCCAAGGAGGTATACCATCTTTCAGGAGTGAAGAAGAACAGGATGTGAGTGTGGGGGAGGTGCGTGAGGCATTACGTAGAATGAAAGGGGGTAAAACAGCTGGAACTGACGGGATCATGACAGAAATGTTAAAAGCAGGGGGGATATAGTGTCGGAGTGGTTGGTATTTTTGTTTAATAAATGTATGAAAGAGGGGAAGGTACCTAAAGATTGGCAGAGAGCATGTATAGTTCCTTTATATAAAGGGAAGGGGGACAAAAGAGATTGTAAAAATTATAGAGGAATAAGTTTACTGAGAATACCAGGAAAAGTGTACGGTAGGGTTATTATTGAAAGAATTAGAGGTAAGACAGAATGTAGGATTGCGGATGAGCAAGGAGGTTTAGAGTGGGTAGAGGATGTGTATATCAAGTGAACAGTATATGTGAACAGTATGTAGATAAAGGAAGTTTTTATTGCATTTATGGATTTAGAAAAGGCATATGATAGAGTGGATAGGGAAGCAATGTGGCAGATGTTGCAAGTATGTACTATATGGAATAGGTGGTAAGTTACTAAATGCTGTAAAGAGTTTTTATGAGGACAGTGAGGCTCAGGTTAGGGTGTGTAGAAGAGAGGGAGACTACTTCCCGGTAAAAGTAGGTCTTAGACAGGAATGTGTAATGTCACCATGGCTGTTTAATATATTTATAGATGGTAGAAAGTTGAAAGTGAACATAGAAAAGAATAAGGTGATGAGGGTATCAGATGATTTAGATAAAGAAAAATTGGATATCAAATTGGGGAGGAGGATTATGGAAGAAGTGAATGTTTTCAGATATTTGGGAGTTGACATGTCAGTGGATGGATTTATGAAGGATGAGGTTAATCATAGAATTGATGAGGGAAAAAAGGCGAGTGGTGCGTTGAGGTATATGTGGGGGCAAAAAACATTGTCTATGGAGGCAAAGAAGGGAATGTATGAAAGTATAGTGGTACCAACACTCTTATATGGATGTGAAGCTTGGGTTGCAAATCCTGCAGCAAGGAGGCAGCTGGAGGCAGTGGAGATGTCTTGTCTAAAGGCAATGTGTGGTGTAAATTTTATGCAAAGAATTCGGAATGTAGAAATTAGGAGGAGGTGTGGAGTTAATAAAAGTATTAGTCAGAGGGCTGAAGAGGGGTTGTTGAGGTGGTTTGCTCATTTAGAGAGAATGGATCAAAGTAGAATGACTTGGAGAGCATATAAATCTGTAGGGGAAGGAAGGCGGGTTAGGGGTTGTCCTCGAAAAGGTTGGAGAGAGAGGGTAAAGGAGGTTTTGTGGGTGAGGGGCTTGGATTTCCAGCATGTGTGAGCATGTTAGTGAATGAAGACAAATGGTTTTTGAGACCTGACGAGCTATTGTAGTGTGAGCAAGGTAATATTTTGTGAAGGGATTCAGAGAAACTGGTTAGCTGGACTTGAGTCCTGGAAATGGGAAGTACAATGCCTACACTTTAAAGGAGGGGTTTGGGATATTGGCAGTTTGGAGGGACTTCTGAACTGTCGTATCTGAGCGCCTCTACAAAGACAGTGATTATGTATTAGTGAGGTGAAAGTGTTGAATGATGATGAAAGTATTTTCTTTTTAGAGATTTTTTTTTTTTTTTTTTTTTGGGTACCCGTGGGGGAAGGGTTTTTTAAAAAAAAAAAGTCAATTTAAAAAAAAGCCCCCGGGGGGAAACGGGGGATAAAGGAAGGGGGAAAAAATTTTTTTGGGGGGTTTTTTTGCTTTGTACCTGTAAAAGTGAAGGAATTGTTTTTTAAAAAAATTTTTTAAAACCTTTTTTCCCCCCCTCCCCTTTTAATCCCCTTTTTCCATTATTCCACTTTCCCCTTTTAATTTTTTTTTTAAAACCCCAAATCCAAACTTAAATTCTTTTTCAACTTTTTAAAAAAAAAAAAAGGGATTTTTTTTTTTTCCATTTAAAGGGAAAAAATCATCTACTTTTTTTTTTTATATTTCTTTTTAAAAAAAAATTAATTACTTTTGACACTCCTGTACTAGACTTTCCTTATTTAAACCCCCTCCCCCCTCCCCTAAAAAGAAAAATTTTTCCCTATTTACACTGCTTCCAAAGGTTTTTACCAATTTTTTCCCCCAAATTACACCCCCTTTCTGCAGGATTTTTCCCCATTCCGGGAAAACTCCTCCCTTTTCCCAACCCTTCAAAAGACTTTCTCCATCCAAGGGGTTTTAAAAAAAAAAACCCAAAAGTTCCTTCCCCTTCAAACACTCACCACCCCCAATGCCCCCCAAACCCCAAAATTTTCCCCCCCCCCCCCCCCTTTCCAACCAAACCCCAAAACCCCCCTTCCCCCTACGTGATACCCTTTACTGTTTTTCTCCAGCCCAAACCCCAAAAAAAACCCCTTTCCCCCCCTTGGAAAATTTGAACCCCCCCCTCAAACTTTCAAAAAATTTTTTTTTTAACCCCCAAAACCCTCGACATGACATTCCCCTGCCTCCCGCCTCCCCCCCCAAATTTCCCCCTGCTTCACACCCAAAAAGAGGTGGTAAAAAAAATACTCCCCCCCCTTTTCCCCAAAATTTTTTTTTTTTTCCCCCCCCTCCCCCAAACCCCCCCTCCCTTTTTTTCATCCAATTTTTATCACCCATTTTTTAATCCAACTGACCTCCCCCTCCAAAATTTTGAATTTTTCCTCCCCTTTCTTCCCTTTAAATTTTTTTCCAATTTCTACCAACTTTTTTTTTCAAACCTCCCCGTTTTTTTAAAAAACCCTTTTAACCCAAAAATTATCCCCAACCCCCAATTCTCCAGAAACCCCAAAAAAATTCATCCAAAAAATGTGACAACTCCCTTTTTATGGGGAAAAACCTTTATTTTTTATAACTCCACACCTCTTGCCAAGCCCCCTGAATTTACTTCTCTTAAAACCCCCATCTAAAAAAAATTTTAAAACAACCTAGGGATTGGCGGAGAGCTTTATAGTCCCTTTACATAAAGGGAAAGGGGACAAAAGAGATTGTAAAAATTATAGGGGAATAATTTACTGATTTATACCAGGAAAAGTAAAACAAAAAGGGTTTATAATTGAAAGAATTAGGGGTAAGACAAAATTTAAAGGATTCCCGATGGCGGGGAGGCTTCAGAGGGGGTGGGGAAAATGTGAAGATCAATTTTTAAAACATTGAAGAAATATTGTGAACAGTATTTAAAAAAGGGTAGGGAAGTTTTTATTGCTTTTTGGGTTTTTAAGAAAAGGCAAATGATAGAGGGGGTAGAGGAGCAATGTGGCAGATGTTGCAAGTATATGGAATAGGGGGGTAATTACTAAATGCTTTTTAAGGGAAGTTTTTTTTGGGGAATAGTGGGGCTCAGGTGGGTGTGTAGAAGAGGGGGAAAAAATACTTCCGGTAAAAGTAGGTCTTAGCCCGGGAAGTGTAATGCCCACCTTTGGTTTTTAAATTTAATTTAAAAGGGGGGGTTTTAAAAAAAGAAAATGCTAGGGTTTCGGAGAGGGGGGGGGTTAAAAAAATGGGAATCAAATTCAAAAGGGGAATTGACACATTTTACTTTTTGCTGATAAATACTGGCTTATGGGAGTTTCCCTAAAGAAAAATGGCAAATTTTTAGGGGAAATGATTTTTGGGAATGTGTGTAAAGGTAAAAAGTTAAAGTGAACATAGAAAAGAGTAAGGTGATGGGGGTATAAAATGTTTTTAATAAAAAAAAATTTGGTATAAATTTTTGGGGAGGGGGAGTATGGAAAAATGAAGTTTTCAGATTCAGTGGACCCCCGGTTAACAAATTTTTTTTCCACTCCATAATATGTTCGGGTTTCCCCAGTACTGACTGAATTTTTTCCCCAAAAGGAAATTTTGTGAAGAAAATTAGCCCCTTTTCGGGCCCCCAAACAACACGTACAAACCATTTACAAAAAAACACTTCCCAAAATTTGGTCGATTGGGAGGTAATCGTTATCGGGGGTCCATTTTAAATTTGGGGGATTTGGGCCCTGTCGGCGGATGGTTTTTATGAAGGTTTGAGGTTAATTATAAAAATTGATGAGGGAAAAAAGGGAGTGGTGCTTTTAGATATGTGGATTTTAAAAAAAGTTTTTCTAGGAGGGAAAAAGGGAATTTAAAAAGTAAGTAAAAACCAAAAACTCTTATATGGGTGTGAAGCTTGGGGGGGTAAATGCAGAGCGAGGGGACGGTTTTTGGGGGCAGTGGAGATGTCCTGTTTTAAGGGCAATGTGTTTGGGGAAAAAATTATGCAGAAAATTCGGGGGTGTGGAAAATTAAAAAAGGTGTGAAGTTAAAAAAGCATTAGCAAGGGCAGAAGAGGGGGGTTTTTGAGGGGTTTGGCATTTTTGAGAGAAAGGGTTTAAAGGGAAAAACGGAAAACCCTATAAATCAAAAGGGGAAGGAAAAGGGGGGGTAGGGGGCGACCTCGAAAGGGTTTGGGAAAAAAGGGGGTAAGGGGGTTTTGTGGGGGAGGGGGTTTGGGCTTCCCCCCAAACGTGTATGAGGGGGTTTAAAAGGATGAATGGAGACGAATGATACTTGGGACCCGACGATCTGTTTTTGTGGGGAGCAGGGTAATATTTAGGAAGGGGGTTTAGGGGAAAACCCGGGTTTTTTTCATAAAAAGTCCGGGCCCTTTAGTCCCGGGAAAAGGGGAAATACAATGCCTGCACTTTAAAGGAGGGGTTTGGGAAAATTTGGCAGTTTGGGGGGTATGTTGTGAAACTTTTTACGTATAGCTTCCCAAACTGTTTTTTGAGCACCCGCAAAAACAGTGATAAAGTGTTTAGGTGGGGGAAAAATGTTGAAAAATGATGAAAGTATTTTCTTTTTTTGGGGGTTTTCTTTTTTTTTTTTGGGTTTACCCTGGCCCCAGTGGGGAACGGCCGACTTTTAAAAAAAAAAAAAAAAAAAAACCCTGGGAAAACACACATCCTTTCTAAAAGGGCCCACTTTTACTGGGAAATAATCTCCCCTTTCCACATACTCTAAGTTAGCCTCCAAACCTACGTAAAAACCTTTACTGCTTTCCCGTAACCTACCTCCTATACCATACACCTGCAACATTTTGCCCCATTGCTTCCCTATCCACCCTGTCATACACCTTTTCCAAATCCATAAATCCACAAAAACCTCTTACCCTTTATCTAAATACTGTTCACTTAATGTTTCCTTTATGTGTTCTTAATGTTTTAAATAAAAATAATTCTGTGAAACATTTTCCCCTTTTTTTCATTTAGCGGGCCTAACCCCCTATAATTCTAACACCTCTCCTCCTCCTTTTCCCCTTTATATAAAGGAAATATTACTTCATTTTTTTTTAACACACGCCTCTCCCCCCAAGGTGGGGACCCAGAAGAAAAACACTTTAAACCCATCTTTTATTCTACACTGTCCTGCCAGGGATGTGCCAATACACATACAACTCCCCCCAAAACTGCAACTACTCCACCCCCCTTCAAAGCAAGGACTGTACCTTCACATCCATACTGAAGTCTGGCAACCAGTTCCTTCAATACCTTCAAAAAGTTTTTCCCTTTGCTCACATTCCAACACTCACAAACCTAGAAACCCCTTTCCTCCCTCACTTCTGTAAAACAAGCTTACACATGCCTGTTTGTTCCCAACCCCTTTCACACAAAAACCCCCCTTAACCCCCTCCTTCCAACTTTCATATGGTGACCCCACCCCCACCTTCCCCACACTATAGATTTTATCATCCTCCGTCAACTTAAAGCTCAACACCTCACAAACCCTCCTCAGTCCCTAGAAATACTTTTAGTAAACCCTGCACCTCCTCCCTCCAAAATATGAATTCTCTGCTAATATTTCTACTACACATTGCCCCAGACATACATTTTTTATGCCTCCACCCCTTTTTGCAAATTTTGCAAACCATCTTCACCCCCATAAGAGTGGGGTACCACTATACTCCCATACGTTTCCCTCTTTCCTCCATCAATAAAGTTTTTGACTTACAGAGCCTCAGTGCACCCCCACCTTTTTCCCTAACATTTTAGGGTTTATCCATTTCATAACCCATCCACCAAAAAACAACTCCCAAAATCCCGAACAATCACTTTCCTTCCAGTCTGATTTCCTCCTCATCACCTTGCTCTTTCCTATTTCACTTTTTTTTTAACTACCCCCCAAATATGTCTCCAAACCCTTTTCAAATTTTTTCAGAATCTCCCAAAAGCACAGTGTAATTGGGGATAAAACACTGTGCAACTCCCATTTTGTATTAGATTCTGCATATTTTACCCCACACTTCTCCCCAAGACAGGCCGAAGATTCACCTCTTTTGCAATCCCATATATAAATGTTAACAACCATGGGACATCACGCATCCCTGTCCAAGGCCTACTTTTACTGGAAAATAATCTCCCTGTCTCCTACTTTACCCTAACCTGAGCTTCACTATCCTCATAAAACTCTTTAACTGCTCACAACCTTCCACTTTTATTTTTAAATATATCATCATTTTATATCTTGCAGCACATTCAAGAGCTCTTGGAATCTTGGAAAACACATCTGACTAAATGTGATTGATATTCTACCTTTGCCCAAACACCATAACCGAATGATTTTGTTTGGGGGTAAAAAGCCTATCCTTGATAACAAAGATGAACGACTAAGAAACATTCCTTTGCTACCAGGAGGGCCCAAGTTTTCTGAAGTCAAACGGGTTTTTGGTCCCCTTGTCAAAAAATTTTGGTGCATGGTAAGTTTTCTACTCTCATATACTGTTTTTTTGGGAAAAAATTTATATATTTTTTTACTCTAGAGCTTTTTTAGTCAAAATATAAAAGTACTTATGTACTGCAATTTATTTTAATCCTTTCACTATCCAGACCCCCAAAATTAATATTCCTCCCAGTGTCCACTTTAAAAAACAAAAAATTTCTTCTGAAAGGGTTGGGATTTCTTTTTTCTGAAGGTAATGACACCAAAAGTACAAAATTTGATGGAAAACTTAAGGAATTATGCAGGTGAAATAGGTATTTCACCCACTGTGAGTCCTACTTTAAGTCAATTCCATTCTTCTATTTGACTAAATTCTTGGCTATTTTGCTAGTAATGCCTAGATGTCAGTAATTTTTGGCCAATTTTATGCAAACTTAAAAAAAATAACCTATTTTTAAGTAGTACAAAATAAGCAATGTAGACATTCTTGCCACTAAACCAACACCCTTCCTCTGTTCATTAACACATCCCCAGACCTCTTCTAATATTTCTGCTACTTAGAGCCCAAATTTTAAAATACTTCTAGTTTGAAACCAATTACATCATCTCTATTTTAGTAGCATATCTTCCATTCTGTCAAGTGATACCAAGAAACAGCCAACAAAACCATAAAAACCATCCTAAGAAACACCTCAAAGTCACTGTTTTAACCCCTTGGGGGGGGCTGTCGCAACCCCCCCAAACCTGAGGGCTTCCCCGGTGTCACAAAATTTAAAAAAAAAAAAAATTATTTTTTTTATGAAATGATAGAGAATCTTTTCCCAATTGTAATGACACCAAAAAAAAACGAAATTTGATGGAAAACTGACAGAATTACGCTCTCGCGAAGTTAGCGACCTTGGCGATATTTACAAATCGGCAATTTTGCCCACTTTGAGCCCTATTTTCGCCTAATTCCATTGTTCCAGTCGACTAAACTCATAGCTATTTCTTTAGAACTCCATTTTATCTATCGATTGAGTACAAGAAACTGCCCATTTACCAATTTCAACTACCCAATAACGTGGTCAGAAATTTGCAATTTGGCCAATTTCATGAAAATTAAAAAATATGACAATTTCAAAATAAGGTCCAGAACAAACAATGCCGACATTCCTGGCTCTAAAATAGTGTAGTGTATGTTTTGCTCCATTATTGTTCAAATTTCATTGTACAATCTCTTAGTAATTAAATAATCAACTACCTCATTTTGTGATTTTACTAGTAAGCATAAGTCACCTTATGTAATTTTCTTATTTACTATTGTTTGCTTAAACATTAGCTGAATTGATACTTTCTCTGTCCATATTACTACCTCATATTTTTTTAAATACTATCAATTGATATTACTTACTAAAATTAATAATTACCATTTTTACTATAATTTTCAATTTACTCTCAACATTTTTGACATTTAAAAACCATTACTTGTCTAATTACCTTTATCTTTTTAATCCCAAATTTTACATCTTAGAGTATTTTTAATTACCTTGACGCCAAATAACCTAAAGTAAAAACCGTGCAATTTAAATAATAAACTTTACTTTTTCACTTTTTTTTTAATCATTATTTCTACTAAAATTTATTTAAAAACCATATTTTTCTACCATCAATTTTTTCTTTTTTACATTAAAATTTTTTATACTTCCCATAACATTTTTTTGCCAAATTTTAAAGTTTGTATTTCAACCCCAAAACCTTTAAATTTTTCCCTTTTACCTGTGAAACCTGTCTACCATCTTACTATCATCTTATAACCAAGACATTACCATTGTTATTTTTTAAATAAATAAATAAATAAATAAATAAATAAATGGGATTAAATCTGGAATATCTGAGAGAGTTAGAGCCAAAGGAAGGGGTAGCAGTAATGTTAAATGATCAGTTATGGAAGGAGAAAAGAGAATATGAATGTGAAAATTCGAGAATTATGTGGATTAAAGTAAAGGTTGGATGCGAGAAGTGGGTCATAATAAGCGTGTATGCACCTGGAGAAGAGAGGAATGCAGAGGAGAGAGAGAGTTTTTGGGGAGATTTTAAGTAAATGTATGGGAGCCTTTGAACCAAGTGAGAGAGAAATTGTGGGGGGGGACCTAATGCTAAAGTGGGAGAAACTTTTAGAGAGGGTGTGGTAGGTAAGTTTGGGGTGCCAGGTGTAAATGATAATGGGAGCCCTTTGATTGAACTTTTTTATAGAAAGGGGTTTAGTTATGGGTAATACATATTTTAAAAAAAAGGATAAATAAGTATACACGATATGATGTAGGGCGAAATGACAGTAGTTTGTTTGATTATGTATTGGTAGATAAAAGACTGTTGAGTAGACTTCAGGATGTACATTTTATCGAGGGCCACAGATATATCAGATCACTTCTAGTTGTAGCTACACTGAGAGTAAAAGGTAGATGGGATACAAGGAGAATAGAAGCATCGGGGAAGAGAGAGGTGAAGGTTTATAAACTAAAAAGGAGGCAGTTAGGGTAAGAAAATAAACACTATTGGAGGATAGATGGGCTAATGAGAGCATAGGCAATGGGGTCGAAGGGGAATGGGGTAGGTTTAAAAATGTAGTGTTAGAGGGGTTCAGCAGAAGTTTGTGGTTACAGGAAAGTGGGTGCAGGAGGGAAGAGGAGCGTTTGGGTGGAATGATGATGTAAAGAGAGTAGTAAGGGAGAAAAAGTTAGCATATGAGAAAGTTTTTACAAAGTAGAAGTAAATGAAAGGGGGGAAGAGTATATGGAGAAAAGAGAGAGGTTAAGAGAGTGGTGAAGCAATGTAAAAAGAGAGCAAATAAAGAGAGTGGGTGAGATGTTATCAACAAATTTTGTTGAAAATAAGAAAAAGTTTTGGAGTGAGATTAACAAGTTAAGGAAGCCTAGAGAACAAATGGATTTTGTCAGTTTAAAAATAGGAGAGGAGAGTTATTAAATGGAGAGTTAGAGGTATTGGGAAGATGGAGGGAATATTTTGAGGAATTGTTAAATGTTGATGAAGATAGGGGAAACTTGATTTTGTGTTTTAAAGGGGAAGGAGGAATAACATCTTGTAGGAGTGAGGAAGAGCCAGTGTGAGTGTGGGGGAAGTTCGTGAGGCAGTAGGTAAAATAAAGGGGGTAAGGCAGCCGGGATTGATGGGATAAAGATAGAAATGTTAAAAGCAGGTGGGGATATAGTTTTTTTGGGGTGGTTGGTGCAATTATTTAATAAATGTATGGAAGAGGGTAAGGTACCTAGGGATTGGCAGAGAGCATGCATAGTTCCTTTGTATAAAGGCAAAGGGGATAAAAGAAGTGGGAAAAATTATTTGGGGGGTAATCTGTTGGTGTACCGGGTAAAGTGTATGGTAGGGGTTATAATTGAAAAAATTTTAAGAGAAAGAAGGGAGAAAGGAAGCAATAAAAAAGGGGGCTTTGGGGAAAGGAGGGGGGGGTTGGACCAGTTTTACAGTAAACAAATAATGAACAGTTTTTAGATAAGGCTAAAGAGTCTTTGTGGCATTTAAGGATTTGGAAAAGGCGATGACAGGGGGGAAGGGGGGGCAATGTGGCAGATTTTTGCAAGTGTAGGGTGTAGAGGAGGTTACTGAAAGCATGAAGGTTTTTTACGGGGATATGGGCTAAGTTAGAGTAAAAGAAAAAGGGAAATTTTTTCCCAGTAAAAGTGGGCCTTAGACAAGAGTGGATGTCCCCGTGGTTGTTTAAAATTTATAGAGGGGTTGAAAGAGAATAAATGCGAGGGTCTTGGCAAGAGCGGGATTAAAAGATAAAGAATCACACACGGGGTGGGATTGTCAAGCTCTCTTTGCTGATACACGTGCTCTTGGGAGAAAATTCGAAGAGAAGCTGCAGAATTGTGGGGTGAATTTGGGAGGGGGGGCAAAAGAAGAAAATTAAAGGGAAACAGGAAAGAGAAGGTTTGAGGATACAAAAAGTTAGGGGATGAAGATTGAATACAATGGGGGAGAGATTGGAGGAGGTGAACGAAATTTAGAATTGGGAGTGGACGTGTCACATGGTCTATGAAAGATGAGGGGAATCATAGAATTTGATGAGGGAAAAAGAGTGAGTGGGGCACTTTGGATCTGTGGGACGAGAACTTGTCCTTGGGGAAAGAGGGGAAGTATGAGAGTAATTTTACCCAACGCTCTATAGGGTGAAGCAAGGGTGATGAAAAAGTGCAGCAGGAGAACTGGAGGCAGTGGGGATGTCATTCTGAGGGGAATGGTGGGTGAATATAATGCAGAGAATCGTAGTTTGGAAGTTAGGGGGAGGGCGGGGTTACCAAAACGTTGTCCAAGGGGGTGAGGAAAGGGTTTTTTTGAGGGGTTCGGGCATGAGAGAAATGGACAAAAAAAATAACTTCAATGAAACCCCGTAAAGGGAAAGGGAAGGGGGGGTAGGGGTCGGCCTAGGAAAGGGTTGGAGGAGGGGAAAGAGGTTTTGTTGGAGGGCTTTGGGCTTCCCGCAGGGAGCTGAGCGTTTTGATAGGAGTGAATGGAGACAAAGGTTTTTTATTTCCTTTTTAGGTCCGGGGGCAAAAATGGGGAACTTTTGTAAAAAGAGTGAGTTGCCAATTTTTGGGGGCAAACTTGTCCTTGAAAAAAAAAAAAATTTTTGTTTTAAACCTTTATGGGGTAAGAAATTTATGTTTTTCTTTTTTAGGGGAAACTAGGATGAATTCGTCTACAATTTTAATATAATGAGATATTATTTAATTAAAATTAATAATACCATTTTTATATAATTTGCAATTTACTCTCAACATTTTTGAATTTAATACCAATTACTTGTCTAATTACCTTTATCGGGTTTAATACCTAAATTACTATTTAGAGTATTCTTAATTTACCTGTAGCCATTAACCCATCAAGTATAACTACCGTGCAATATTGAATGAATCAAATTACTTTTTCACTTTTTTGTATCATTATACAATACTAAAATTTTATAAACCATATTACTACCAGTCAGTTTACTTTTTTACATTAACATTGTTTAAT